GCTTCGCATCATCTGTGTACATCATTTCACTTCAATAAATGCTGTTTACAATAAACTGTGTCACGAACATTATTCTGGGGAGTGTTTGAAATGCGTTTAGAATATCTGTGACGAGAGGATACGTGATTCACAAAACCGCCCTGTGAGTAATGTTAAGTTCTGCGCTCACATTCGTTTCGAAAATTCTCGGCTAAAGTCCTCTAATGTCTCAGTACGCACCAGTTAACATAAACGTCACGGTATTATTAAAATGCTTGGTTCGTCTAAATTTTAAGGAAAATGGCTGGTTCGAATGAACGTGATATGGAAGCAAAAAAACACATGTGGTCGGACAATGGGGCCTTAGAAAACGTCACGAATGCACATGGCGATGACAAAATGGAAGATGATGAATTCATAAATGCTAATCTAGACATCGATAAAGCGAAAGAAATACCGCTCAATGAAGATCTTGATAACGACTCAGAACTAGGAGCCTCCAGCGTAAGGTCTTGAAAACTTACCGAGAAGGGCCAAGAAGAAAAAATTCGGCGTCTCAAAAACGACCAAATCACTGCATTAAGGGCGGTTTCCTGCAAACGGACAGAAATGACTGAATTGATGTGTGACGAAAACAATCTGCACCTGGTAAAGAATGAACTTACCGATCTTGACAGATTATGTCAACAATTTCAAGATGCTTATGATAGACATCTTCATGAATTAACTTTACCGGAAGACAAAGAAAGAGCGGCTCTCCATTTCAGTTCAAAAGAAAGTGAAATTTTTGAATACCGGAAACAAGTGGTGGATTGGATAGAATCTGCGAAGAACGCCTAACTGATCAATTAGACTGCCTTTCAGATAAACGCTCGGGCTCGCAGCAAACGCATGTGTCACGCAAGTCACACAAGTCGCGCTTGTCGATACGCTCGTCTTCTTCGGCCCAGGCACAAGAAAGACCAAAGGTTGCGGAGTTATTGGCTGAGAAATCCATGCTGAGAAAGAAGCTACAACTGGAAGTAGCCGAAAAACAACTCGAGCTTGAACTTAAGATTGCAAAAGTGCAAGCAAGAGAAAGGGC